TTTAGAAAATTGCCTTCAGCTTGAAAAAATTAATCCATCTGTAAAATTAACATAAAAATTATGAGGAGGTAAAATAATTTACCAAATACTACTTAACATTATTAAGTAATTTACAAATGGCACAGGTCATAACAGTGTAAGGCAGAACCATTTTCATCGACCTTCCTAAGTTTAACACAATACGTTTTTAGTTACTGACGCAAAATAATAACACTTGGTTATACTATAAATTGACGAAAGTGTCAACTAAATCCTTAAAATAATTTTTATAACACGAACCATTAAGATTAAAATGAAGTTAATTTATATTATACAGGAGTTATCAATTTTTTGTTATCTCCTTGATTAATTGTTCTTTAGAAAAGAAAATTGGTAACTTAAAAATGTTAAATGCACACGTTTAAATAAATTTATAAAAAATAACAAAGTTTATTATACTACGCAACTGAGTACAAATACCTTTCAAACAAAAGAAAATTTAATTTACGATCAAACATAGGTATAATTAATTTTTTAATACATTAATGCATCATAGAACAAACTAAAATAAAAATTATAAGAGATAAGTAGACAAAATTTTGTAAACCAAGCTGACCCGACCCGGGTCTTGTTAAGTCTGTTCAACACAGACCATTTGTATATCATTTATTTGGCCTCTTTATTTTATTAAATTTTTAGTAAACGGTAATTTGCCACCATTTACTAAAAATTCCTTTTGTAACTCGAAATTTAATTTTTCTAAATATTTTGGCTCTAATAAAGAGGTTCCTTCCCTCTTTTTGCTTTAATGGTGGCCTGGTGAATAAAATAAAATATTAAAATGTAAAACAATGATCTACTTATATAAAAATGTTTTCTTTCTTTCCTCAAAAGTGTTGCTAATACAGACTAAGCTAACTAATTAGTTAAACACATAAATAAAACTTAAGTAACTCGATATTAATGCGCAAAACTACAATAATCTCCGTATTTTTAAAGGTTTTTAGTTACGACCGCCCATTCAACCTATACGACCCCCCAATCAATTCTCTCTCTACAATTCTCAATACTAATTCTTATTTAAGTCTCATCTAAGAGAGAGAGGAAGTGTTTTAAAAACACCATGTTAGAAAAAGTAAAAAAGCCATGCAATAAATAACAGTAACTGGTTTTATTATGCTACCAATAAACAAAATTATTTTTACCTTAACTAAAAGTTAATTTCCAGCATTTCTTAATTTATTTCCAGCTTCTCTCTAACTGTTGACAAATGATTAATATTGTAAATTTCACATCATATTAAATTTACAAAATTAAAACCATGTTTTAACAGTAAGCAAAATAATCAAGTGATGACAAAGACAACTAAAAAAAATATGAACAATTATATTAAGATTACAAAAGTAAAAAAAAAAAAAAAAAAAAAAAAAAGAAAATCATTTAAAACTGAAATTTTTATTATTTGTTACTATAAATAGTAAAATTCATACTTTGCTTTATTTTAAAGTGTCTAATGTAAAGTCAAATAATAGACATCAACAGCGCTTGACACTGAATTCTGCCAAGTAAGTTTTGGTTCATCAAGCAAAATTTCTTATATTTCAACGACAATTAATTTTATCATGCCTAGATCTATTTCTTTCATATGACAACAATTTCAAGTCACCTATAACCATTTACACTAATAACTTCTTCGAGCCTAATATTATAAATCTGTTATCATTAAATATATATTACCAGTGGTTATGCTACTGTTACAACTGAATAAATGAACGTTTTATATTTTTACAACTGAAAAATATAAAACAAAATTTATTTACATTATTTTAATTTAGCAAAGAATTTAGAACACAGTGCAAAGTTATTTGCATTGGGTTCTAAATTCTTTGCTAAATTAAGAAAGCCTTCTGGCACAATCTTAATGCACAAAAATAATAAATGCAGAATCTTGTATAAAAAATGAAGCAATGTCAGTCTAAAGTAATATATATGTATGTATATATATTCAAATTTTTTCTATTCTTAATTTTTTCTTTGAGATAATATTCATATAGATTCAGAGAAATATAAAATATTCCGATATATAGGCACATTTAAGTATATAAACTTACCTGTCAAAAATTACAGTCAGTTTTTCATGTTAAATACATAAAATATATATCTAATATAAAATTAAACAAAAAATTAAACTTACTCAAATCAGTAACAGTTCGACTGTCTATATATTTTTATTATTAACCCTTCTATTTAAAAAATAAAAACAAATGATTTGAAGTAACTAAAAAGCACTTTAGCTCTTTCCAATTGCACTAAAAAATAAAATAAATCTTGCTTGCTAAGTTGCCTAATTCTTAAGAATCTGATAACAAATAAGTAAAAAACCAAGAACAAACAAACATTTATTTACTAAAACTACTCTATTTAAACAAATTAAATTAAACAGAGAACAACATTGATACTCCTTGAAAGCTGAAAATTTATCTCAAATTTGCTTGTAGACCTTGCTTATGAAACCACTTGAATAAGAAAAGCATCAAAAAAGCCTAGAAGCTGGTATAT